ATATTTTATTCAAGCAGGGGGAAGCTTGACAGGTGCTGAAGGGCAGCAAAAAGCTCAAGAGCATGAGCAACTGCAGGAATCATCTCGACGACCACGGAGACCACCAAGGTGCAGTAATTGCAATCAAGAAGGCCATAATCGGCTTAAATGTCCTAATAAATAGTGCCTTTTCTTTTATATAGGAAAATATAATAGATTTTGTTGCAATAATCTTCAAGATTTTCGGTCACGTTGGGCTGCAACTCTTGGCCAAGGACTGACCAGCTCGGTGGTGGATTACGTTAGTTAACTAACTAGTTAACTAGTTAGTCAGCTCCCGCTGTGGCCATTATGTAAGCTCCGCAGCTGTTCTCTGCTTGCATTGGCACCCCTAAAAGGCTTCATATTAGAACCCCTACAGGCTTTACGCTGGAACCCTTATAGGCTTCATGCTGGCATCCTATAGGCTTTATATATAGGCTTATATTACAGGTATGCGGAGGGCCGAAGGTCCGGAGCATTTATAGGCATTAGTAAGCCTAGGTGTTCTTTACCCTTCAAGCCTAGACGAGCGGAGCGAGTCGTTAAAGGCTTGTACGGAGTATAAAATAAAACTCAGGGGTGGTAATAATAATAATAAGACTCGTGTAAAAATATTATTTCTGCCTGTACGTATGTACATACACTCATGGTGTCCAACCCATAGTTTATTGTATACATTACTTGGGTAGGTATATAAACGTTGCTGTTAGCTGGCTGCAGATACAGAAATATATATACAGCTCAAAAGGAAAGAAAAAAAAAGGCATGCATGGGTATACGATCGATCCAATTCCATATCCAAACCCAGTCAATTACTCCGGCCAGTGCAAAAATGCATTCCAAGACATGACATCGTCAGTCGTCCTGTCAGATGAATGCGACAGGAATTGTTTTTCTTTTCTTTCTTCCTTTTCGTTTTTCGTTTTTTTTTTTGTGGAGTGACTACGACCGCAGCTCGTGGATGCGTCCGCTGTGGTTATCCAACTCCACAGGCGCCCGAGGCACCGACCCAGGCGCTACCGGTGGTGGACCACCGTAATATGCGTACGTCTGCTTGCTCGCGCCCATGTCCCCGTATGGCTTGTATGACTCCATGACTGCAGCAGGAGCAACCATAGCCGCGTTGGGTTGTAGAGGCGTGGCCTCTGCTTTGGTCGCATCTTCCTGGCGACCACCCCGCCGGAGGAGGCACAGGACAACACCGGCAATGATGAGCAGACCGCCTACGCTCACGCCCACTCCGATGCCTGCCTTTCCACCGCTGGAGAGACCGCCGCTTCTGCTACTAGCAGACGACTCAGCTGCATTTGCATTGCTCACGTCGGAAGGCTCAGGCAGAGGGGTCCAGTGCCCCGTCCAGGTGTCCAGCCAGCTGTTCTGGGATCCTGTCAGTGACTGGTCGCCCGGCGCGATGACCGTGGTCGACGGAGTCGCCTGATAATTCGGGCCCGGGGCCTGGGCCAGGAACCAATTCCCTACTCCATCATTGCTCCAGTTGACGCCAACAAAGGCCGCCTGAAGAAAGGCACGCCCCAGCCCGTATGTCCCGTTGCTGGTAAAGCATGGGAAATACTGGGTGGGCGTGCTGACCAGGGGCGCCTCGAGGGTCAGATTGAGCAAGGCAAACGGAACTCTTACCGTAAAGTTGGCCGTATTGAGTGCATTCAGTTGGAAGGTGAAACCGAGGTATGCGGGCGACGTCACGATCTTGCTGTACTCAGGGCTCGTGGTGTCCCAATAATAGAGACCCATGTCGGCATGGTACTCAACAGGCAGCTCGGCCGCAATGGCATCACAAGTGCTCTTCGGCAGATAGAGGTAAGGGTTAACAGGAGAAAACATCACGGGTAATGTCTGCGGACTTGAGGGAGGGGGAATCTCCCTGGATCAGCAGGCCCGTTTTGTTCGTGAAGTTCCACGGAGATCCTCCGGTGGCGACTCCGATTTCGATATCGAGAAGCTCGATCGCAAACGACCCTCCAGGTTCTGCCGAGGTATAGGGTTGGGCCGACACTGGCTCCAGCGCACGCGACTGGTCGTATCCGCCCAAGAAGAGAGAACCGGGGATGTTCAAGGCGGCCGATCCAATGTGCAATCCGTACGAGTACGACGGAATAGCCTTGCCGCCTCCGTTCGTATATAGGTAGCTGTTGATAAAAGTCGTGTTCAGCGGCGGGCGGCCGTCGTTTTCGGTGTAGGATGTGTTGTAACGAGGAGCGCCTAGGGGACAAGATTCCCACCTCAACCGGATAACTTTGACCTCTAGGGTATGTCTGGGAGGTGTTGGTGACCGTCATGATGGTGACATTGGGAATAATAACTCCGCCTATATCCATATTATCCATGGCATTCTTCATAAAGCCGTATTGCGGAATGGCATGGACGCCGGTGGTGATCTCTCCGCTCTCGTAGAGTGCGATCGAGTGGTTGTTGAATTTAGAGAATTTATCAGGGTTGAACAGGCCCGCCTGCTGCCCATAACACGTCGGGGAGAGCGATTTATTCTGACAAATATATGTCGTGAGGATGTGGCTGCCCCAGATCCCCCCAGGATATAGCGACACAGGCTGCTCGGGAGGTGCCAATGCTAACATTCACGGCTTGCCATGGTCCATCAGGTCCATAAGACCGACTCGCCCCAGTTCATCAGGAAGGGAGTGGCCGTCTCATCAGCATTGACGGCTGGCAGCAGGCTGCTCGTAAGGAGCAGCCCTGACCAAAGGCCCCGCATGGCAGTTTTGAGGTGGCAGACCGTGTTTGTTGCGGGGGACGGCAGGACTGCTGCAAGGAGCGGACAGGGCCGGATGAGTGAACGAGCGACGCACAGAAAAGGAAATAAAATGCAGGGGAAGATCCAAGATGGATCCTCCTAGCCTACCATCCGAAGGAGGGATGGCGAAGCTCTGCTGGCACCGCAATCAAGGAACTGAAGATGGAGTACTCCGGAGTACTCCAGAATCATGTCTGCAGACCTCAGCCTCAGGCGCCCTCCGCCTCACAGTCCCAACTGTGCCTCTGCTGGGTGAGGCAGCGAGGCTACTGAGCCTAGTAAACATTAGCGCGACCAAGCATGCGGGATTCGAGCCTCAATTGCCAAACCCGGAGAAGCGGATG